AGCAATGGCAATAGCAATCATAATGTTATGAAGAAGAACCACAAAAATCAACTACTGTAGGGTGAAGAGCAGCACCAAGCGATCTGAGTCTCTACTGTTTGTATAGGTTCCTGCAGCCCGCTGCTATTAGACCCGCACACTCTTGAGAATGGGCACTTTGCAATCCGATTAGGGGCTCGCATGGGCTGTTCATAATGAAGTGTCTGCGGCAGAGGGATCAGGGCCGTTTGCTTTCAGCCGTGTTTCGGGTGGTGGCGTTCAGCGCAGCTTGGATTTCAAGCGTCACGCTCACTGTACTCACTAGCATTCCATCTCATATGAATCTGGGGCTGCGTCAGGGGCGGTTGCAAGCGGGCACGCCGCAGCAGCGCAAATCCCAATGCACCATGTCTTGCGGATTTGCTTACTAATGCCTTACTGATTCCAGGTGTGTGTGAGCCTGGTTCACCATCGACGCAGTATCTTTCCTGGTAGTGCTTGTGCAGAGCCATGGGCGGTGCTCAAGCATCGCTTTGCTCCCTTTGGGAGCGCCACCAGCTCTCGGTAGAAGCTCTAAACCTTCAGCTTTGTACATGGATAGGTTCCTGGAACATCGTCGGGTGGCTGCCGCAGACCAAGAATCTTGAACCTGTAGAAACCCTGAAGCCTTAAGGTTAAACTAAACCCCAGATGAACACCCTCGTGAGTCCTTTGTCAGGCATGGACGCGCAAGGACCTGGCGGCAGCGGCAAGCCGTGCCGCAGTGGCGCTGCAGCGCCATCTTCCTCTTGCCTCGGGTGCTCGGTTCAGAGTCTAGCACGTTTTGGGGACTGCAGTCGAAGCTTTTGGATTCTGGTGGCAGTGCCTTTGCAGGCACAACTACGATGTTTCGGCACATGGGGGGATAACTGCGCATACTTTTCGGCTTGCTTTTGCGACTCTGGGGTGGGGGGGGGGGGGGGGGNNCAGCATTGTTTCAGGATCTACTTTGCTAGTCCGTGCTCATGTTGGTGCTGTCATGAATGCATGCTGCTGCATGGACCTGCATGATGTTTAGATGGGAAATACTGTGAAAAACATTATCAAATCCATATTGCTGGACCACGACTTTTCCAAAATCCTTGTGAAATCTGCATCGGATCAACCTCGTCAGATGTGCCTATCGCAGTTTGTTGCATCGGATGAACTTGCTCAGATGAGAATTACACATCGTCTCGTATGGAAAGCTTACGTAAATGTCTTGTAGCTATATACATATGTAGTAACTCGACTCCATGTGCACACTTGGACCATGTCATATCAGGACATATCACACATCACGTATCATGTCGTGTTATATCATGTCATGTCCCATTACGAAGCCTCAACAGCCCGAAACATCGACTAGCGTTGCCAAAACCCCCTATTTTTAAGCATTCCCCAACTGTACTTCAAAAAAAATTATATCCTCACCTTTTACAACGAGAAGCTCGTTTCATGTGGCAGGCGCGGTAGATTCGAAGTTCATGTGCCTTTCCAAAGGCGCAATAATCTCCCCCCCATGGGGATGTTTCGTAACAGAATTAAGGTGCATGTGTGGCGCTTGGAGTTGATGAAGGTCCGGCGATGGTCGTGCTGCAACTGGCCGTGATGGAGGTGTGGCAAGCTGAAACCTTGCGTTTCAAGACCTGGAGTGGGGCGTACGATAGCAGGACGGAGTATTCAGATGCTTTTCGATGGTACCCTAGTAAGCCCTACCTGAAAGACCCTAAGCACTATACCCTACACCGCGCTGTCTTGCCTGTTCCGGTACCCAGGCGAGGCATTTCTCTTCTTGCCCTTGGACCTTCGGCAGCCGCCGGGACGCCTGGAGGTGATGCTGACTTCAGCAGGCATCATCCAAGCGGTTCAGTTCAGTCGTTTCCCACGTCGGTTGCGTTGTAGTTACCGTATGGTAACCTTGTGGTAGCCTTGTGGTAAGCCTGCTTGTGGAGCCTGCAAAGTGATCTAAGTGCAGAGGTGCAGGCTTGCTGCTGGCTTTCGCAGCCTCCCTGGGCTCCGTTTACATGCCAGAGGGCTGCCTCCTGGTGAGCGCAGAGGAGGCAGCATGGAAGTGTTTCGTGTTAAAGGTTACGATACGGGTTACTATAGGGTTACTGTATCGCCTTCTGTCGACAAGGGTTACCATTACTATCAGGGTTGCCATGATTGTTACTATGAGGTTTTGCTGCAAGGGGTACTTGTTGAATTCTGTGCTTTGTCTGTTTCAGCCACGAGCCTTGACTGGGAGGTGCTGGGGGCCGCCGCTGTAACTGCACAGACAGAAGAGCTTGGATACCCTGCTGCCGATGATCTTTGCTATGTGCAGTTTACATCCGGGAGCACCGGCAAGCCCAAAGGCGTCTTGTGTGAACATCGCCAAGCTGTTTGGTATGCTCTGTCCAAGGCAGTTGCAGAGGGTGTCGACGAATCCTCGTGTCTCATGCTGACGGCATCCTTCACCTTTGATCCTTGCCAGGGCGACATCTTTTGTGCACTGGTCTCCGGCGCGGTGCTTGCCCTCGTGCCGCGAGTGCGTTTGCTACAGGACTTGACACAGGTCCTCCGCGAATCGCAGGCCAGCCACTTGTGTGCGACCCCGGCGCTATGGCGTCTTGTCGACCCAGATGCCGAACTTCCACATCTGCGGGTCCTGGCACTTGGTGGGGAGAAGATGCCGCCGGCCATCATCCAGAAGTGGGCGCCGCTCCTGCAGCTGAGGAACGTCTACGGCGTGACTGAGGCCACCGTGTACCAAACGGCCATGCAGATGACTGCGGAGACGCGGCCACAGACGGCCGGGTGGCCTTTGCCCGGCGTACAGGTGAAGATGGTGGCTTGGGAGGCTGCGGAAGAAGCTGAGGAGGAAGGCGAGATCTGCCTGAGTGGTCCCGGGTTGGCCCGTGGCTATCTTGGGCTGCCAGCCTTGACGGAGGAGCGGTTTCGGAGGCTGCCCTCTGGAGGTCGCTGCTACCATACCGGCGACTCTGGGCGCTGGGCTGCCTCCTTGGGCTCGCATCCTTGGCTGGAGGTTCTCGGACGCAGGGACTCCCAAGTGAAGCTGAACGGAGAGAGGATCGAGCTGGGAGAAGTGGAGCAGCTGCTGGGCATGAGCCCGCTAATTTCTCAGTGCGCCGCCATGCCTTGGGGAGATCAGGCTTCTTGCCTACATTTGCCCTATAGAGGCCTAGAATTAAGTTCCAAGAAGCTTCAATAGCTTCTCACCACGCCTTTCAAGCGTTTCGTCAGGATGTCGCATGTTTGCGTGATGTATGCATGCATATGTATATATATATGTATATGTATATGTGTGTATGTGTGTATGCATGTATGTACACATACACAATCAGGTTTCGTGATGCATCGCAAGATCTCAGGGCAACCTGCTAGCCTTCGTCGTCATGGCCAAAGGCGAAGCGTTGGATGGCTTGGCTTACCTGGCGCTCATGGCCCACTGTGACAGCCACCTACCGCGGATCATGCGACCCAGGAGGCCAACCACTCGGTCTTTTGTTGTACTCTCTTTTGTCTCGGGACGTGTAATGGGGCTTCGAGGATTTGGATGGGGTTTCAGGTTGAGATCTGCAATCGGGTGTCTAGGAGTCTAGGAGTTGGGGTTTGTGTGTCCAGCATTGCTGGTGGCTTAGGAGGGCAGAAGTTGGCCCTGAGGCTGGTGGCTCTGGACACACTGCCTGTCACGTCAAACGGGAAGATTGACCGGAGATCTCTGATAGCTCCCCAGCTCGACACGGAAGTGACTAAAGACGTGGAGCGAGAGCCTCTATCGCCTCTGGAAGAAGCCATCGCTGTGGCATGGACCTCGGAGCTCTCACTGAAGAACCAGCTGGGTCCTGCAGCGGATTTCTATTTGCTTGGAGGAGGTAGTGTGCATGCAGTTCGCGTAACACGCCTCCTGCGTGTCGTGCTGCATGGCGGTGGTGGTGGAAAGGCAAAGTGGGCTGAGGGTACCAGTGACTGGCGTAATCCTGCTGGAGATGCTTCCTTGTTCCTGCCTCCGGAACGAGCCGGCGATGCCGAGTGCCATTTCGGTTTGTGCGATGGAGGCCCCTTCGCCCCCTGCGCTCTTCTCGAGCGACCTGTGCTCCGGAACTATGCATCCTTCCTGGTCGAAGCCGGCGTTCGGGTTGGCAAAGAGACGGAGGCTGTGGACTCTGTGGATAAGGACCCTGGAGCCGACTTGCCTCGAGCTCTGGAGAGTGCCCTTCGAACCGGCCGGGAGGCGCTGGTGCAAGCCTTGCTGCTGGCCCGGGCCTCAGCGACTGGAGGATTGGAGCGAAGGCAGCGCGGGACGGCCCCGTTGCACTGGGCCGCCCAACGGTGCAGCGGATGTGTGGTGGAAGCGCTGCTGGCGTTCAGAGCTCATGTCACGCAGGCCACGGAGGCAGGGGCAGTTCCTGCCCAAGTGGCGGCAGCCGCCGGGAATGCCAGTGCCCTGCGAACACTGTTGGAGAACGGGACTCCCGCCTGCGTGCGCGATGCTTCGAAGCAGTCCCTGCTGCATTATGCAGCCCGCTCCGGGAGTGCCGACCGCTTGCAACAAGCTTTCGATGTTGTACGGTCAACCAGTCACAGTAAGCAAGAGGTTTGCGAACCGAAAGCCTCAACTGACGATCTCAGGTGGATGTTATCCACCTGGCCGTTCAGCACGGGGCTGAAGTGGACCGTCGCGACAAGCAGCTGCGGACGCCAATCTCAAATCGGTTCGTTTCTCTCTAGTTGCGAGGCACCCGAGCATGCGCCCGAAGTCCTCGACCGAGACGCAAGCTTCAGAACCTGGCAAGGCTAGAGCTAGAGCTGAAGATGCCTTCAGCAAATGAAAGCTCCACCCGACTCTCTTGAGATGCAAGATTAAAAACTCATCTCAACTCAGCCGGCGAAGTAGAAGCTCTCATAAACTTGAACCCAAGGACACCCCTCCACTGGGCGGCCCTGTCTGGCGATGCGGCGGTGGTGGCAGCGCTGCTGGCAGCAGCCTGCGATCCGCAGCCGTCGCTCGGCTCGGCTAAACCCTAAACCCTAAACCCTAAACCCTAAAACCCTAAACCCTAAACCCTAAACCCTAAAACCCTAAACCCTGAACCCTAAACCCTAAACCCTAATGGCGGTCCAGCTGTCGTGGAAGCTCAGGCCGAAGGTCTCTGCCTCACTGCACGAGCGCCGAACGCGGCTCGCCCAGGACGCGGGACCTCGGGACCTGTCTGGCAAGCGTCGCTATTGAAGGAGCACTTCGGTAGTCGCCCAGAATCAGTGGCACCAGTTTTCCGGTCGTAACTATTCCCGAGATGGTTCGCAGGTGGAAGTACTCTACCCCATCGATGCTGCTGGAAGATCGTAGGATCATGCTGCATAAACTTCGAGCTCTTTTTGCAACAGTTCGAAGCCCTAAACCCTAAAGCAGGAGTCACCGCTGGAACTGGCAGTTTCCAGGCGCCCTCACTCGCCGGACTGTAGGAGACCCTTAGTGATCCCTTAGTGTCTTGGGTTTAGTTGTTTTCGGCCAGGGCTTAGGGTTGTTTGATCCAAGGTTTCAGTAGCTTCTGGAATATGCGGCTTTTGTACTTGGACATCTGGAAGGAAATCGCGGGGTCAGTATTCCTTTCTTCATGCGCAAGTGCCGTGCTTTGTTTTCCCCCCTTACAGTCGTGCAAACCTAATACATTACATACATATATATATATATGACTGTATACATACATATATATATATATATACATCTGTATACATATATATATATATATATATATTATATCTGTATGTGTATATATATATATATATATAATGAACCCCCCATGGAATTAATTTATCAATCTATCTGGTAGTCTGGCTGTCTGTCTCTGTCTCTGTCTCTGTCTCTGTCTCTGTCTCTGTCTCTGTCTCTGTCTCTGTCTCTGTCTGTGTCTGTGTCTGTGTCTGTGTCTGTGTCTGTGTCTGTGTCTGTGTCTGTCTGTCCAGTATCAAACTCCCATATATATATATATATATACACACACAAGCACATATACGTGTATTTCTGTACGTGTATATATATATATATATATACGCATACATACATACATACGTACATACATACGTACATACATACATACATACATACATACATACATGTGTATATATATATATACACATATAGACAGCATACAAACACACACGCGCAGACACACATACCCCAGCCTGACCTGTCAGCTTGCGGTCTGTGAGGCATCCAGCGAACAGCGAGTTGCACTCTTTGCTGCGCGATGCAGAGCAGGGGAAAATGCGAGCGCTGTGCCCGTCCCGTACTACCAAGTAGCTTCAGGGCTTAGGGTATCAAGTAGTACCATAAGATGCCAAGTCGTAGTAAGCCCGAAGCAGAAGTGAGTAGTGCATCAGCGCGTCGGAGCAGGAGCAGTGCAGCAGCGGCAACAGCAGTGACAGTTGCATTTTGACCAGTGATATTGAGCAGCTACTGCAACAACATCGTCTTTTGTTACCTGCATCATGGCTACCGGCTACCCGTGTTTGTCCTCCTCTTCTTGTTGTTCTACTTCTTCATTTGTTACTTCGAGTCATGAGCAGTTGCCGTCAGAAGTTTATGTTAAAGCTGGTCTTTGCTGAGGCGGATTCTCCGGGTTTTCAAGACGGATCACTTTGCCTCGGCAGATGCGGTGCTGCTGGAGCGGGGGCCTCGGGTCGGGCTTAGCGGCCTGCCAGGCTCTGAGAACCTTAGGCTTAGACTAGACGGAGCTCACATAAAGTCCCTAAAACCTAAACCCCTGAACCTCTAAACCCTAAGCCCGTGGCCACAAAGTCCGCCACGAGGCTCAAGGGCCAACGGTGCTTCCGGGTGGCTGTGCTCCTGCCGGAGACGGACGCCATCCCCGACGCTGCGGTGGTGTTGGAGGACTGCTCTCTGCTCGTAGGCTTCTGTGTCGGGCACGGTGCTTCAGTTTGGAGGCTAGGGAGAATAGATGAGAATAGGGAACGAGTGTCTTTTTTTGTCGGTGCTTGCTTTTTGGATTTGCTGCACCTGATTTTGAATTTGGTGCTCATACAGCACAGTAAGCACAGTGACGGGAAGTGAGCGGCTTGAGTAATCCTGCCTCGTCCATGGCTGGAAGGCGTCAGGGGCTCCCAGGTTTGGCCATGGCCATGTCACTGTAGGGCTTTTCACTGCAGGGCTTTTGGGCTCTGATGATATTTTGCTGTTGTGTAAGACAGGCGCATTGGCGTTCTTCAAACTTCTTTAGACGATTAGCAACGCAAGGCAAGATCTGAGACTCCGATAGACATGGAGAACAGACAATCAGGCGGAGGTCCGAATCTATGTCCTGATAGTTGAAGCCATGTTGTGGAAACTGGAACTTCCGGACGGCATAGGATCAGGAGGTGGTCATGGTCTCTGGGTTTCAGTGCGCCAAAATCCTGAGCCAGAGACCCCAGAGACCCCAAAGACCCCAAAGTGCCGAAGTCTCAGCCCTAAGCCCTAAACCCCAAACCCTAAACCCCAAATCCTAAACCCTAAACCCTAAACCCTAATCAGGAGCGCGGCCCAAACCAAGAGACCCTAGTCCTCCAGATTGAGCAGCTGCCACTTGGGTCGGCCAGGTCCTTAGTCACTTCGTCTACCTGGAGGTTCATGGGTAGTTGTTATAAGTGGGGTTATAAGTAGTGAGGGTTACTATAATTATAGCCCATATTAGGGGGCTCATAACCCTACTTATAACTACCCATGAACCTCCAGGTACAACGTACGTATGTACGGAACGGGTACATCTCTATCTAGCTACAACTACATCTGCAGCTAAAGCTGCAGGAACTGCTTCTAACTGCCACTCCTGCTCCTCCTCCTGCCCCTCGCCAGCTAGCCCTATTTCTCCCACTCCTACTACTCCTACTGCTCCTACCGCTCCTACTGTCCTTGCTCCTGCTGCTGCTGCTGCTGTCCACCTCCTACTACTGCCACTGCCGCGGCTGCTGCCGCGGCCGCTGCTGCTGCTGCTGCTGCTGCTGCTGCTGCTGCTGCTGCTGCTACTCCTGCTGCTACCACTACTACTACTACTACTACTACTACTACTACTACTACTACCACCTCTACTTCTACTTTTACTTCTCCTTCTACTTCTACTTCATCTTCTTCTTCTACCGACTACGACTACGACTAATATGGTGACCATGGCTATGATTATGCTTCATAGTGCTGTCATGACTCGAGGCACTCCGTCAGCATCATGACCGTACTTTATTCATCTTCACGCCCTCTGCATCCCAAACCCCCTAAACCCCTAGACCCTAAACCCTAAACCCCTAAACCCTAAACCCTAAACCCCTAAACCCTAAACCCTAAACCCCTAAACCCTAAACCCTAAACCCACTAAACTAAACCCAAAAAAAGCCCTTCTAATTAAGCCCAGGTGCTGCAGATCTTCGAAGCCTGCGCAGACCCTCAGAGCTGCCGAGCCTTCGGCGCGGCCAGCGAGGCCGCGGGCGCCAGGGCTGCTTAGAGGATCATGGGACTCAGTAGGTAGGGTTATAATTAGGGTATCTATACTTGTCATAATTAGAGTTTAGGATTTAAGGTTTAGGGTTTAAGGTTTAGAGTTTAGGGTTTAGGGTAAGTAGGGTTATCAGGGTAACTATACTTATAATCCCAATTAGGGGGCTTATAACCTCACTTGCTAAGTCCCATGATCGTCCAAGTGATGAGCTTCTTCCGCGGTTTAGGGCTTTGAGGTGTGGCTTTAAGGTTTATATCACGGGCTACAGTAAAGTATGACCGTTTTATAAAATTACGACGAGGTTACCAGGAGAGAATAGGAATATGTTTGGAGTCGCCGAGGAATGGGCAGACCTCTTGAAGCAGGAGTTTTCCTTTGTTTGGAACAGTTCTGGATGTCGTCTTGTGGTAGACGTGTGTCTACGATGCACGAATGGCACAATCAACGAAGTCTCCACGCTCCAAAACCCGTGGACGCAGCAGCTTCGAGGAGGATAACCTCTAGGTCCAGGACGGCAGGCGAACTGCGGCACAACTGCCGTAAAGACCCCCCAAGGAGGCAAGCATTAAACAGAAGACCGAGAACGGAAAGAGACCCTGCTGTTTGCGGCGGCGGGTCGTCCTTCAAGCAAGCGCAAGTCAATGGATCTTTGCAAGCTCCTGACTGAAGGGAACCTTGGCACTCTACAAGAGTTTTCCGTTTGAAGCGGTCCGTGTGGAAATTGTCGAAAACTTCAGTCGGATGGTCGTTGGAACATGGGTGTGGTGCTAGTGAACTCCAGCGGGACGACGCCTTTATGCATTGCCTTTTACGAGTCTCTGGTGGACATGGTGTCTTCTGAGCCACGCGGTGCATTGCCTGTTCAGAGTCCCCGTTGGAGATGGTGTACCATCTCCAACAGGGGCTCCTAAAACGCGATGCATACAAGTGTTGTGCCACTGGAGTTCACCAGGTTGGCATCGCACCCGTACTAGAACAACGATCTGAAGTTGTCCACATTTTCCCCACGGACAGCTTCAAAAAGCACGTTCAATATATATATATATATATATATATGTATTTACATATAGGTATATATACATATATATATATACTTACTTTTATATACTTGTATATACTTAAACACTTATACCAATCTCATATAATACTTGTATGTATATATATATATATGTATATATTGTCACATTGTCATATGACCATAACCTGCGTACGGTAATAACAGAGTGCAGCAGGAATGCAACTCAGTCTTGATGCCAGCCTGTGTCACCTAGGTACTATGATAACATAGCGTAGCAGCGTAGTGTAAACTTTTCGTAGAGTATCATTACAAGGCCAATGAAAGATGAACCCCAATATCAGCATAGCATCAACGAAAGGTGCAAACATTTCTGGTCATCATGTAGTTATATGATAATGGGCTTTCCATGGCTTACGGGCCACCAGAAGTTTTGTCCCACCGAAGTCGAGACTGGCCGCCACACGATGACTCTTGTGTCAACGAGTGTTATTCTGCAGCAAGTCGACCCCTGGACTACAGGCCATAAACCTCCGAAGCCTTGTTAAGCCCTGCGGCCCACAGAGCCCAGACCCCACAATCCATATTTAACCCTGAGCCGTACCAGGTCAGGGTCATGATCATTGGCACTGCAAGCTGCGGGTTATCGGAACGTACGGTAGTCGTCCCAGCCTCGCGGACGGAAAAGCTTGTCAAACACAATAAGCCAAGAAAGGAACCAAGCATAAACACAGCAAAACAAGGGAAACAAAAAGATCAACGTGAAACCCGCGGTCCTGAGTACAAAGCCGCAGAACCTAATTCCCGCCCAAGCCCCAAACCAGCACTAAAATATATGATAGATGTAATATGTATGTAACTATATTACAGTGCATCATAGTATATCAGAACCGCGTCTAATCTAATCTAAGTTAGTCTAATCCAATCTAATCTGACATATTAATATGAAATAGAACATAATACAAGGTTTTCAATTAAAATACACTACAGTATAATATAGTATAATGAAGTGCAGTATAATATAGTTGATTATAATATATTATATAGTAAATGTATTAGGGAATGGCAACCGCAGGCCGACGACGGGGCTTCTTCGGCCGCGGCCCTGCTGTTGGGCCGGGCGCTGGGCGTGCTGTGGGTCAAACTGTATGAAAACTCGATGAATGCTGTAATACGTTGCGGTTTAGGGTTTAGGGTTTAGGGTTAAGGGTTTAGGGTTTAGGGTTCTGTAATACGTTAACGCACATATCCTGCTAACAGCAAGTTGATGCTATGGAAACAGAAACCTACTGTGTTGCCACTGTCTGTGTCTTCTCTAGCAGCACACACTCCTGTTGGAACGTGCCTTTATTGACTTTGTCGAGGACCCATAGCGAGCTGTAGAACCCGAGATCACTCTAAACCCTCCGAGCGCTGAGCGTCATCATCCCGAAGCTCATGCTTGGCGCACCAGCCAGAACTCTAAGCCCTAAAGCCCTGAACTCCCAAATCCTAAGCCCCAAATCCGAAACCCTAAGCCCTTAAACCCTAAACCCCCAAACCCGAAACCCCAAACCCCAAAAACAAAGATAACTACACCCAGCCCAGGCCAGGAACTTCTGGCTTTGCAGCAGCAGGGACTGCAGCCACTGGCCGAAAGCACAGATTTCTTGCAGTGCACGACATGTTGTCTCGGCAAGGGATGGATAATATAGGGGGATCTAAATTATCAGGGATCTATAAGGGATCTATAATACCAGGGGATCTGTAGTATCAGGGATCTATAAGGAATCTATAGTATAAGGGATCGGGATGTGCACCCGACGTCAAGAGCCCTTCTGCTTTCTGGCTTCCAGATCCACTTGCTCGCTTGTGCTCTGCTGATACAGTGCTTGCAAACCCGAGAGAGGTGAATGCTGCGGCTCAGCTTGTTGGCATGGTGTAGCCGTGGCAGGCTTCGAAAGTCAGCTTTAGGTACCATGCGGAGTCTCGTCCCTGAAGACAGCAACCGCCGAGATTCTTCAGGCCTTGCATGTCACATGGATATCCGAAGGAAGGCTTTAACTTGGTTGGATCCTGGGACGATTGGAAAAGTCTCCTGGCAAAGGATAGGTGAGCCTCTGCATTCGGGTCTCGGGCTTCGCTGCAGGCTTGCACTTTGCATGGTGCCCCCTGCCCCCCCAATTACTAGTGTGGCCATTTTTACTTTTCTTATTTTGGATGATGATGATGCGCACGTTTGTACATTGAGCTAGGGGATTCCCAACGACATGGTACCTATCATGTCACGTAGTTAACATACTGTTGGGACACACACACACACACACACGCACGTGTGTTGAGCATGTCCCGAGTTCGTTCATGATGTGGTGTTCGTCGGGAATATACTCGTCACAAGATGTAAGTCTTGTTTGGGTGCTCCAGAACTTAAAACAGGTCTGTACGACAAGCCTTTGTACAGGATTGGGCAGCACGTGATGTTGTGTTCATTCGTACGTCTCTGTGGACCTAGTACCAACGCGCAGTGTGGCCTTTGATACAGCATACACAGCAGCATGTGTGCAACCTGCACTTTAGTGTTTTGCATTTTCGCGGTCATCACTTAGGTCTAGATACATGTGCTTGCATATTACAAGTACATATAGACTGCGGACAGCATGAGAGAGAGAGAGAGAGAGATAGCATAGTTGGACCAATTCAATTGTCGCCTACATATTATACTATAACTATAATAAGTCGCCTATATATTATACTATAATTATAAGAAGGAACCCCAAAACCCTATTCTAATTCTTAAGGCCCCTGTATGGTATACTATAACTATAATAAGGAGCCCCAAAACCCTGGTCTAGTTCTTAAGGCCCCTAGAAAGCCAGAAACCCTAAACCCTAAACCCTAAACCCTAAACCCTAAACCCTAAACCCTAAACCCTAGGCTTCGTGCCGCTGAGCCGCTCTGGGCAGAGCGGGTCCTTCGTGGCCCGCGTGCCGATACGACGGCCCCCAGGTCTGGAGGACCGAGGAATTTAGGGTTTAGGGTTTAGGGTTTAGGGTTTAGGGTTTAGCAGGAAAGCTGAGACCTGAAAAGAGAGGCTCATGGTTTAGGGTTTAGGGT